ATTTTTAATATGTCATTTCGAACTGGTACATTCCCACAGGATTGGAAATCCGCCATCGTGACACCGCTTTACAAGAATAAAGGCTCCCGTGCTTGCCCGGCAAACTACCGCCCCATCTCTCTGCTGCGCACAGTTTCCAAACTTTGTGAGCGTATTGTATTCGATTCCCTCTACCTGCACATCGCTCCGGCTCTCTCACCAGCTCAGTCGGGATTCTGCCGTGGTGACTCAACTCAATACCAGGTGACTCGACTTGTCCAAGACATAGCGACAAAGAGGAACTGTGGGGAGCACGTGGGAATGGTGTTTTTCGACTTGGCTAAGGCATTCGACACCGTTTGGCATCGTGGCTTACTTGCCAAGTTGAAGGTCACCTTCCGGGTGGAGGATGCTGCCTTGCGTTGGATATCCTCGTATCTGTCTGCTCGTTCTCAGGCTGTTCGCTTGTTCTATTTCTTGTCTGATCCCCTCCCTGTAACGTCTGGAGTGCCCCAAGGTTCCATTCTGGGTCCTTTGTTATTCTTGCTTTACGTTAATGACCTACCTTCAGTTGTCCCCGATGTTAGTTTGTATGCGGATGACACTGGCCTTATCTGTTCTGATTCCTCCCCTGCACAATTACTCCTTACCATGCAGCATCGCATCAACAGCACTGTCATGTGGATGCAAACGTGGAAACTCCAGCCCAATTTAGACAAGACAGAAGCCATGTATATTTCTTCATCCCCTCCTGATCAACCATTATTCTTCCCTGACTCGACTATGCCTATCCGTGTTGTTACTCAGCACAAACATCTAGGTGTGATGTTTGACTGCAAACTCTCTTGGGCTGCACATGTCAACTGTGTATGCAAGCGAACCAGTTCAGCCTTAGGGGTACTACAACCACATTGCACTCATTTGCCCATCCAGTGTAAACTATTATTTTATCAGTGCTATATTCTCCCTATATTCGACTATTGCGATACCGCTTGGTGTGGCCTTTCTGACACAACTCTGAGCCAATTAGAAGTCCACCATAGATTTATACTTAAAATTCTTTACAACAAGGATCGATGTTTTCCTTCGGATGCCCTTTATCGACTTGCACACACTTCTCCTCTCTCCGTTCGTCATAAGCACCATCTCTGTACACTGGTTCATAAGATATTTCTTCATAAAACCCCTTCACACATGATGAAGTACAATTGGTTTTCGACAAGCTCAACCCGTAACGCGCTCACCCTGCCTCTTGTTAAGTCAGCCCAGTATCTAAAGTCTCCTTTGTTTTCCGGCTACTCTCATTGGTTATCATTACCATACGGTCTGAAAACTTGTTCTTCTATTGGTCAGTTTAAAGATCTACTATCACAACTGAACTAGACGCAATAATTATCATCGAAGAACATTCTCGAATACCTGGGTGATGCACGAATTTTGATAGTGCTCACTTCCGTTAATCGTTTTTCTTTGTAATTTTCCATTCATTTTCTGCTTTAATTCATATTTGCTTTGTTTTCCTAGCTTACTATTGCCGTGGCTGGCTCAACGCCCTTGTCTCAGGGGATTCTGTCCCTGCATTAGCTATGCTTGTCACATGCTATGAGATTGTGTCTAATAATAATAATTGGACAAACCGGTCTTACTATAACCCGAACACACAAGGCCACAGACAACCCAACTTGGAAGGCTCAAAGGTATAATTATACGAATACATGAAGAGGGCAAGCCGAGCGAGGACGTACATGTAGATGTCTTGGAGCTAGGTGTCGGGTGGTCGTGTTTCTCAAAATCCTCGTCAGTTTTGTCCCTTGTTGTCGCACTGTCTTACTGTATATTATCTTGTTACCTTGCAATTTCAAATTTGAACTTCACGCATCATTAAAATTGTCGCTTCGCGCATCGCAATATTTGTGACTTGGCTCGTCTTAGTCAGACTTTCGGAATCGTTGTTTTCTGTATTTGAACACTGGTGTGACCCTTCCTGCGCAATGTCTACTTGTCACTGAAGCCGTGGTGGTCTCGAACTTTGTCGGAGCTCTCTTCCGCACCAAGCGAATTCATTGCGCTCCGCACTATTCCGCCCCAGAGCGCATTTCGTTTTCTGGAGTTCGTGCCGTCCCACTTCGTTCGCCTGGGCATTTGGCAAGCCTGCAAGCTCGTCGGGTATAGGAATGCTGGTATCTTTCCTAAATACAAATTGCTGAAGTTGGCGATGGCAAGAACAAAGTGGTCTCAAATTTCTAAAATGCGCTACTTGTGGCGCATGTTGCTGCGAAGGTAGCAGGTCTGAAAACACCAACAAAATCAGCGAAGCGCTTGCCAAGGAAAGAAGGTGCGGAACTGCTTACCCTGTCCCGCTGGAAGGTCGTTACAGTGTACTTGAATGCTAGCTTGCCTTCATCGCCCGGCACCTGGAGGCATGGATCGCCTGAAAACGAAGTTTCTTGACCTGAATTTGAACGCGCGTCTTGTTCAGCGTATTGTTGAGTGCTGAAGGGTCTGCCTCAAACTATGATGAAGACGTCGATCTTAGCTACAAGTGCAGCGAAGCGGGGGGTCACAAACTAAAGCTTGGCCCGTCGACAATGCTCTGCCTCAGTTTCTAGCTGATTTCTGTGCCCTTCGAGTGGACAACATAATTTTCGAAAAATCGCTCTGGGAAGCGACAATTTTAATGACACGAAGGAATTACCTGGTGACATTGTGAATGCTCTAGATTTACAGTAGTGACGTTCGTGACATTTGCGACATAATTTTCATTCATCACGATTTTTATATTGCATTAAGGAGGAGGAGCTGAAGTCACATTGCGATGGAGACGATGCGAAAACAATGTACACACACCTCAACTCAATCATGGCTGTCTCACGCCCACCTTTCACTTGATGAAATACTCACTTGCATTGTTCTGACTTAGTGCTAGCTTGAAACTTGTTGCAGATTACATGTAGTGGCGTGAATTATGAATTATGTGACTGTATCTGTACTGTCTTTTATTATAACAGCCAACGTTGTATCATTCTTCTTCTATATCCCTGATTATGCTTTCCTGGGTGAAAATTCCGACAATTCATTGTACGCGGTGTAGCCAATGATTGTGCGTGTGGTGCGAGTTGGGTGTACTGAAAATGTCAGCCTACAGAAGAGTTTCAAAGTTCCTGAAATAAAATTGATACGTTGATTCATGGAAATTGGCCTATGTCCATTCCCCTTGGTACTTTTGGTCGTCTTTAAAACAGAGTATGCCTGTCTCATTCTGCTCCTCTGGTTTAGCAGCATATTATGCAACTTGCGAAATTACAGGTCACTGTCTGATGCACTTACCTTTAAAGCAAATAGCGCGATATAGGTATGGAGTATTCTTTGAAACGTAACCCCTGTTGGATACAATCCTTTGGTCGGGTGATTCAAACTTTAGCCATGCTTCATAACCCCTATAGGGACTAGCACCGTTAGTTGTCGCACACCAGCTGAGCTCTGGAGCCAATAGTTGCATTTGTTTGTTGGCGCACATCCCTTTTGCATCCTCGTAAGACACGGGGTTGGGTGAAACAGCTTGAATTACGACTGTTGTCCTAGTTTGATCGGCTGAGACACGGGTGCAGATTAGGTTACCTGTATTTGGCAGGTATGGACAGACATGGATGAAGACAAGAAAGCCAGATAATCCACATGTTAGTGAATACTTGCTGACATTAAGCAGTAGGGCTGGAAGTTGTTTTGGTCTGGGGAGGAGGGCGGGGGAGGGGGAGGGGAGGGAGGGGGTGGGGAAGGGGGGGGGGGGTGCCAAATTCCACACTGAGTCCCACTCCAAGCATAGCTAACCCCCAAGAGTGTGCAACTTGACTACTGGGGCGCTCTCACGAGACAGGGCGCTCTGGCGGTACTTCACGGTAGTAGTAGTACTACTACTGCTACAAAGACCCGGTAACCAACAACTTTACAACTTGGAAGGCTCAGGTTAGGAAAAGTACAAACAATCAGGGGAAGGAAAGCGCAGCGAAGATGAGCACGACTATGTCCCCCGGCAACAAAGAATGCCAAGGATCATGACAAGACTAGTTAGGGGTCGTCGTAAAAGAATTGTCGTCCCTGAAATGAACATCATTCAGGGAGGGGTGCGAACCAAAATTGCAAGTCGACCAACACTATACATATATATGTATGTGTACGTGCATGCAATTTTCTTTGTCCAGTATAGCAAGCTGCATTCATTTCAAAGGGAGGAGAGGGGCCTGAGTACAAAATGAACGATCCTTTCAGGGAGGACAAAAAACCTTTTGCGACGACCCCTTAGACAATTGGACATACCAGTCTTACTACAAAGCAACAGAGACCCCAAATTGGGAGGCTCAATTTCTGTAATAAAAAAAGAAAGGGGAAGCTCCACTGTGATCTAAATTTATGAATTATAGTCAACTCCACGTATAGCCAACTCGCACATAGTGAATTTCATGATTATAACAAACCATTCAATTTGTCAATGTCCCTGTTTGACTAAGAAAGTGGTGGACACCACGCAACTGCATTATAAAAAAGGGGGTTTGTCAACTGACAACCGCTCTATTCAGTTGCTATTCACACTTGGCGCATGCGGTGGATGAAAACTTCTTTATACGTGATGTCGAAAACGTTATGACGTTTTGGGCCAGTCACCCATCGTCAGAACCTCTGTTTGAACTCAGGAAAATTGACCCTTTGTACTGAGCAGAGTTTGTTTATAGCGAACCATATGTTGTAATGCCACACTAATACACGTACTGTCACAGATTTAAATACCAATCATGATTATGTTGCTAGAAGGTGTAAGTGCAGTGCATTCATGTTATGAAGAACTTCAGCTTCGAATTAAGTTTCCTGTGCAATGGTGTTCTTTATTTGTACATGTTAATTTGAAGCAGGAATGTGTTTTTAATGTGTTTTTTAATGTGTTTTTAAACCCCTACTCTCCAGAAAGCACAATACTGCATGAGTTCTGGCCCACACGTATGTTGGCCAATGGTATTTATGGAATATTTTTATGAAGCATGCCTACCCTTCTTACCTATTGGTGGACGCTGTTCTTGCGTGACAGTAACATTGAACGAGTGGAGCACTGTTTGCTCCACGTGAGAGTAAGTGGTATGCTGATTGAGATAGTTCACTGTTAAGTGATAGGTGCCAGATGTACGGCTTTCCTCCGGGTAAAGGAAACACACATAGGCCACATCTTGCTGCGATGTAGCATTCCTGAACAGATACAGCTTAACCGACTGGTCACCATTGGAAATGAGAGCTTGGTTTTTAAATAGACGTATCACTCTATCCTTGACGGGAACCTGTTTACCCCGGGATACTGTAACTGTAAATCTCGCACACTCGAGGAGTCTCTCAGAATAAAGTTTGACAGAACTGTATCCTTTTATGGTTGCAGTCACATCAAGACCTTTGATGGTAGAGGTCTTCCAAGCATTGATAGTGGCAACCGCTTCTGCAGAATACAGGTTACGCAGCAACAATCACATAAATTGATAAAATTGCAAACAACAGTACCAGATGCATCATTATTATCACGAATGTTTTACTGGATAACGAACAGAAAGATGATGAACCATAGATATTATGAACAATAGAAGGACTAAACCAGGGAAAGGGATGCATATAACTGAGCAAGGACAAAAGAGAACTTCGAACTAGTTTTAGCATAACGCTCCTTGGGAAGTGTTCGTTACACTAATGGATGCAATGGCAAATTACTACTATTGAAGGAAAGTATAGAGCGATTTGTACACTACCAACATGCCCTAGCAGAATTACAGCATGGCAGTTTTGGACATATTTCTCGTTAATGTTATCTCCCCCATTTCATTTTTGTTGCACTGAGCCTTCCCTTGTCTGTTGCATATGTGCTAACGCCACAACGTCGCCGTGTTCATAATATGTGAGGAGAGCACTGGTGGCTATGAAAGCACTGTTCAAACTCAAAGCTACCGTATTTCCCCGTTTGTTAGTCGCACCCCCATTTCCGGATCCATGTCACATCGTTTCAATATAAGTATTCACTTCAGTATTAAATCATGCACTATTGTAAGTCACCCCCCCCCCCTTTGTTGGCCCTGATGTTAGGTGTACAAAGGTGCCACTTATATTCGGGGAAATACAGTACAACATGTCACTATATGCACAGTGCCGACGACAGCTTGTACTCGGTATGAAGTGTGTGCTACGCCAGCAAGAAGGGAATAGCGGTTTACGATCGGCTGAAAATGGCCCCTCCGTATTAGCATGGGAAATATGCGCACAGCACGCATTAAATCATAACAAATGTCTACTTCTAGAAAAGAAAAGGACCAAGGAACTACAATAATCCAACTGATCTTCGCATTTTTGAGCCACACAAGTTGTGTGGAATGTTGCTTTGCATCCTAGAATCGTGATTTGATCATATTGTCCACCAATGGTCTTTCCAGTATCGTCATCGACATGCATGTACATCTGCCGACGTCCTTCACAGCTGAGACTTTCAGCTCGTGCTTTTCTTGGTTGCGCTCACCCTTCCCTCCTATGTTATCATATAACTTAGAACTTTCCAAGTCGGAAGGCTGTTGGAGTGCGCATCCAAGATGTGCTAGCCAGTTAGTTGTAGAACGCCAGTACCGTCGGTAAGTGTCATGCAATATTGCACGAGCTGATTGTTTAGTAACTGGTGGTGTTAGTCGACATTCGGCCAAGTAAAAAAACTGATTGTTTATCGTCAGCGCCCGCCCTATAATTTTCGCCCTCTTGCAGGTAACATACCATGCTAAAAGATGTTTCATTAATGTTATTAGCTCGTGCAATATTGAATCGTGGCAGCTGTGGTTTCTACGACTGTAGGAAAGAACCCTTCGCCTCTAGCCCGCAGTCTAGCATCCCCAGCTCCGGGACAGTCTCGTCATCGTCGTCGTCATGCGTCGTCGTCGTCAGTCTGAGAAGTTTGGTTGTTAGTGAAGTCATGCCAGGCAAAGTGAAAAAAAAGTGAAAGAGATTATCATCTGCCTGCTTTTCTTTGTTGTTCTACGTTGGTTGTTTCACTTTTCCTTATTTGCATCCTCAAAATATCTTGCAAGATGTTATTCGTGGCTAACGACTCATTTGCATCACATAGATTTACCTCACTCTGTGCAGAATGGCGTCAAAAAGAATAATTATGTGAAGGAAAAGGCATGTCTAGGGGTTGCCAACACCTACCACACAGCAATATATGCAAAAATAAAAAATATAATACCTCCCAACCGCCCCGATTTCTCGGGAAAATCTGACGATAAATAATCAATATATTTTACCTGGCCTAGGCCAAGTAAAAATAATTGACTGTTGATCGTCAGCGCGCGCCCCGATTGTTCGGTCCGTCCCGGGATTTATTTTATTTTTATTTTCGTGATCAACCGTAGAAAACTCGTGTGTTTAGCGAAATCTGAACTTTTTTTAGCAGTACGAGAGTATGCGAGCTCTCGTGTACAACTTCAACGTGCTTTTACCGTAGCAACATCACGCAGTGCAGTGTGATTCCAGTGTACTTGTGTGAAATCTGGCAACTACAATACAAGGCACTGTAGTCTGTACAGTGTACCACCTGATATCTACGCCTGCATTCATGGAAACTGCGCAGCCACCGCGTATCACAGAATCATCTGCACATGTTCAAAGTGTGCCCAGTAGGGCTTGGCGGATAATGCCGGCAGAATTTTCGGCAGAAAACGCCTGTTTGGGGGGTCGAGCATATTTCGGCAGAACGGGGGCTGAAAAAGCATTCTCTGCCATGTCAAATGACAGTTACCACGGAATTGGCGTGCGACGTTCTGCTTTTGCAGCAGATTTGCCGCGTTCTTCGACACGCAGTCCATCCATCCACCAAATGTGGCCGGAACTGTTACTTTGCGGAAGGTAGCAGCCTTGAATGGCAGGCCAGTGGCAGAAGTCTACGAGTCGTAGATCTACATAATATGGCCCAGTTGCAGCGATTTCGACCTTCGGTGAAAAAGCCCGCTGTGTGAAAAGATTCAAATCAAATCATCTTTTGCTGCGCAAGCCGGGCCGCGGACGGGTATTCCGTGGATCACGACACCAGTGAAGTCAGACTTGAAAATGTTCCAAAAACAAGCATTTTGCAACGAAGGTCGAAAATCGCTGCAACTGGGCCATATTATGTAGTGTGGCTAGCCTTCATCTGAAGTGCGCCTGAACCCAATTATGTGTGCCAGGTGTATTTTTACATAACTGGATTTCAGCAGAAATTTCAGCAGAAAATGCACTTTCATGAGCAGAATATTGAGCAGACCGAAAAGCAGAATGAGGGATTTCGGCGAGCATTATCCGCCTAGCCCTAGTGCCCAGGCAGACTGGTAGCAGTCACAACCAACAATGGTAGTACACCCATATTCCCATAGATGTAATACATGCTAAGATTTCAAAATGTCCGGTCGATGTAGATATAAAAAAAGTTATAAAATAAAAATACAACCCTCCCGTCTGCCCCGATTTTTCGGAAAATTCTGATGATCAACAATCTTTGTTCATTTTTACTTGGCCTTACAAAGAGTACATAACCCCCAAGAGTGTGCCTGGACAACCTCTATGCTGTGCTGCAACGGCAGAACTTCACATCAAGTGACATGGTTCAAACGGTTACGCTGGCAAACAGTGCAAAGTGACCACAAGAGAGTTGAGCCCCGAGCTGGTTTGCATACAACCCTGTATCAATCATGCACAGAGTGCAAAAAATGTGTACGGGTTCATCACGTGATGTGAAGTTCTGCAGTCGCAGACCCCATAGCTGGATTTGCACACTCTTCGGGGTTATATACTCTTTGGTATGACGTAGTGTCCCCTGTGTAAGTAGATACTGCTTAAGTACCGGTATTACTGATAACATGCACACATACACACACACACACACACACACACACACACCTACACACGCACGCACACACACGTGCACACACACACACACACGCACATGCACACGCACATGCACACGCGCACACACACACACACACACACACACACACACACACACACACACACACACAAGGCTAAATACCATACCTGGTCTTGTGATCTTTCTTATTTTGTACCAGAACACCGGGATGTCACCAAATGGCCGCCTCAGGATGAAAACATTGGTAGTTCCCAAGTCCATGGACTCAAAAGTGTCAGCAGAGTATGGTCCGTATACACCACGACCATAATCCACTAGCTGTGCACACCAACTCTGTGATGCTGTGCCGTCTAAGTTCATCAACATCTGCAATGGCTTTTGAGTTATTTGCAGCTGCTTAAGTCCATAGGTGCATTCTGGTAGGTCACTGACACAATCTGGATTGTGGGGTGAATTTGGTGACACTGTCTCGTAAGCGAACAGTTCAGGAAGATAAGTATGGCGTAGCGCAAACAGTCGATATACACCATGGGTTGACACTGGATGAACAACAAGCAACAGAATCTGATATTGTGCATGATTAAATCAACATGAATTCCTTGTGCCATACTCTCAATTCTGCTTGGATTGTGCTGCACATTGCGTATCACACGGTTGCGAAACACATTTCAGATGCTTGTACCGAAAAGCACTGTGGATCAAGGATACTACAGTGCTGACAACTGAAATCCGACCACTGAGCGGTGCGCTCACGTCGCAAAGACCCAACACGGGATTGTAAGTAACACTACGAAATAGAGACCGCTAGAATGTGAACGCACCGCTCAGGGGTCGGATTTCAGTTGCCAGCACTGCAGTACTCAACACGGGAAGCCTACAATGTAGGAGCAATAGAGAAAGGTCGACAGTGCTCGGACAGACATGTATCATCAGTGAACACTTAGGCTGCATTTACACGAGGCGCTTCAATCCGAATTGGAGCTCGACCCGGGTCGAGTTTCAACCCGCCATGAACACAGATTGACTGGCGCTTTTACATGATGCCGGACTCGGGTTGAAATTTCAATGTTCCCCAAGGAGAGGTTTGAAATGAAGAAATCATATTACGGTACTTCAGTGCATATCTCGCGCCAATTTAGTGCACACGCAAATGTTTCACGAAAGCAATCACGTAACCATACAGGACCCTAGAAGTGCACTTTTGTCAGCATAATTATCAGTAATTGACGGTCAGACCCGGGTTAACACTCTTCATGTAAACACCCACCTATTTTTCCGCCATACAGACTTTCAACCCGGGTTTACAATTCGCATGTAAATACAGCCTAGTGTTATATACATTGTACGTATACACATGGACGACCTTCTTGTCCTTATCCGCTAAAGTACTATTGCTTACCAGGCTGTTTGTCTTGGCGCCATGACTGGATATCAGCGTATGACGACAACGCTGGGTCACACGCCTGTGATGGAGCGAAGTCACCTTGCACGAATCCTAGCACTACCAGCAGCAGCAATCCTGTGACAAGTTGAAACAGTGCAGCGTTCTTCGCACCCTGGCGTACACGTGGACATCTTGGTCCTAGCTCCATTTCCAAAGATACTTGATCTCTTCCGTCTCGACAGTCGCCGAAAGGATGCTGTTGTCAACTGAGAATAGCTCTATTGTTCAGATGAGCAGTCCCCATTTATACCACCATGACTTGGGAGTTGGGACGGGCAGCAGCGGGGCATTGGGTGACGTCATGACTTGGGGGTCATGTACTATACTGTATATAGTACAGTGCTTGCATGTTTGTACTGAATTTCGCCTTCGGGAAATTCTTCGCAACAGGGAGTAGTACAATACCGTATTGTACATGATTGCACTACTCCCTGCTTCGCAACATACGGCGGTGTTTACATGAGGCGTTTCAACCCAGGTTGAGTTCGACCCGGGTCAGATTTCAACCCGACATGTGCATAAAAAGGAATTGCGCGTTTACATCACGCATTGCGCTTGACCTGGGTTGAAATTTCGCCCCGGGTTGATTTCAACCCTCCCCCCAATTCCCCAAGGGGAGTGTTGAAATCAGCCCGGGTCAAGAAAGTCGTACAAACGTACTTCTGTGCGTATATCGCGCCAGTTGTGAACGGCACTGCAGATGCAAATATCGCGCGAACGGATTCACGGGACCATACAGGACTGTAGAAGTGGACTTTTGGCGGCATATCAGTATTTGACCCGGGTCAACTGTCTTCATGTAAACGCTCGCCTCTTTTGTCTATCGTACAGACTTTCAACCCGGGCTGAACTCGACCCGGGTTGAAATTTCTCATGTAAGGGTTGGTTCACATATCGCCGGTACGCGCCGGGAGTCACCGGCGGTGGGCTTCTTGCAACCTCTCCCGGCGCATTGCGATTGTGTGAACCGGTGCAGTCGCAACAAAATCATACGGTAAAATATCGCAAGGGACCGCCGGCAAAGTTGTACAGTGCCCAACTCTTGCGATCTGCCCCGGCGCCGATCCCGTACGATCTTGACCAAAAGTGGTTTGTGAACCGTTCGCGCCGGTGATCGCCGGCTGCCGGGAGCCAGACTTTGTCAAAATATCAAACCAATACTTGTCCTAAATTTTCCTAAATTGAAGCTAGAGAGGAGGTCCGTTCGCCATTCTTGTAGTCGCTTCAAGGCGGCAAATAAGTCAGGATACCAGCCCGTCCTTCTCGGATGATCTGCTTGACCATTGTGCAACTTATGAGACAAATACAATTAAAACAAATATAAAATTATAATGGATACATTGGCAAGTTCTTGTGACTTCATCAACGTTTGCAAGCATAATTTCGACACAATCGCTTAATAGACTGCAGTAAAATGTGTAGAAGTAGTTTCATGATCTCCAGTAAAAGGTAGCACCGAGTGGCCATCACCGAAAGACCTTGAGCTACTGAAGAAACAAAGAATTCAAGTTTCAATGGGCAAACCTGTCGTAGCATTTTGGCACATTCTGTACAACTTTGTAGTAGATTTGGTACTCGAACCGTAGGCGCAACGGATCGGGAGCTGGCTCACCGCCGATGTCTTGCGGCGCCGATTTTGCTTATGTGAACCAGGGAGTAGTACAATACCGGGAGGTGACACGGGCACACATCCGGGATTACGAGCTTTGCCTCACAAAAAAAATACAAACCGCGCGAAAATTCAAATTTTTGCTCTTTTGACAGCGCTGAGAAACCTTCAAATAGTGACGAGAAGACCAGACGTATCCCTTCGTGACAAGCTGCCACTTGTTCTTTTCAGCTCGAGCCTTTTTTGGGAGCTACTCTGGTACATCGTCCACACTGCTGCCAAGTCTCGACTTCCCAAAATGGATGGAAGTGACGAATATGGAGGACGCTATCCTAGGTAAGTAACGTGATGGAATTTTCTCATCTTGACATGGTGTAACACGAACCTGAATTTCTCATTTGGACCCACTCGGACACCTCACCAAGTTGGGATATTTCGAAAGTATACCTATTTGTCTACCATTCTACTTCATCTCAACGTGTTAGCTTATGTAACTCTTTGGAAAACTCATTCTGAAAATTTTGAAACTTATTTATTTGTATAGACTTGAACATAATGTTCAAGATCACTTGTTTTCAGCACTGAATGAGGCCAGGCCTGCTTGCTTTGTTGCTTTTTTTAACCCCCAGAACCCGTGGACAGAAGAGGAAAAGCGACGACTTGGGTGCGGCTGCGAAGTCTGCCTGCCCAACGCCAATTGCTCCTCACCCAAAAAGTAAACAAATTATATAGCAGGAGTGGTTTCAAGTGGTTTCAATGCATTTTCTTTGAACTATGAACAGCTCCACATTTGCAGGGTGCTTGTCCAGTGAGCAGAGTTGCTGAGCTACTGCCACCTCATGTTGGCAGTAGCGTTGCATGTCCGAGTCCTTGCACAGATCTGGTGAGATGTAACCCAAAGAGAAATGAGAATGTGAATGACTGAAAGTCAACAAACTATACTCTGTTGAAGACCACTCTTACCTGCTGCCCATGTCAAAATACTGGACACACTGAAGGTATCCGGCTGAGGTACAATGGCTACTTGGCATACCTCGTCTGATTCCTCCTCGTCACTAGGAAAAACTAAAACATTTGTTGTCTCCATTGCACAGACAAACTTCTTGGACAGGTTCTGGAAAACAAGAATGATTATGGTGATGTTGTGGCAGCAAAACCTTTTGTCACTGGCAAATATACACCCACACACCTACACACACGCGCGCGCACGTGCGAATACATACAACTATTCGTCTTTATCCTTTTGTGTTTGACATGATTCCACGGTGCCATGAAAGTAACATTGGTGCCATAAAAGTAACATTGGTTATAATCAAGGAGTAATGGTATTGTACAATTCTGATTGCCTATGCTCTTGGTGGCCATATATATCAGGAAGTAGTACAATACCGGTATTGTACTACTCCCTGATATATACTATAGTTCATCGTCACGCAGCTCCCCACAAAGTACAAATTGTAGTAAAAGCAATTACGTACTAATACGTATAGTAATATGCAGACACATACAACTAGTAGTCACACAAAGTATCTATAATAAGCACACGTACTAGGAATAGTACGTAAGCAGGCTATCTTTATCCTTTTACGCTTGGTCTGATTACCTGCATACACGACTTACACGGCACGGTCTTCCACGGCATGGTCACTTGCACCAGTAACATTGTACATAATTCCACACTGCCTTTATCATCAACACCAGTTCCTGTTAACGCGTAACATCTCAGGCTTTGTAGCAGGGAGTAGCACAGTGCCATTGTACCATTGTGCTACTCCCTGCTTGACACAGACTTGCGTCATAGTGACATTTGCGAATAGCTGCCCCTGCAGTATAAAATTTATTTTATTTTGTGTTTCTCTCTGACGACTATAGCATCTGGATTCGGAATAGCCTTACTATCTTGAGACGGGTCAGCCATACCTGAAACATGTTGTTCATTGTGACTAAAACTTGAGTCAACATTATCTATTCCCCTAGAAACGACGTGAATAACTAAATGTAATACAAATTAAATTAGGAAGAAAATTTCACTCTTACAAGCCGCCCACGTAAATACTGGACACACTGAAGGTACCCGTGCGAAGGCCAGCTGCTACTTGATATCCTTCGTAGGATTCATCCTCATCACTCAGCAAAGACTGATGGATTCGTTCCCTACATCGTCAAAACAAACTTCAAAAAGTACTGCTCGAAAACTTCTTGACAGCATTCTGCCACTCTCTTCAAGTCGTTCTGTGAATTTTTTTGAAAAATGCTACGAAATGCTACGATAAATGGTACGCGAAGTACGATATTTCGTGACGTTTCCCGGGACACACCGCGCGAAGTACGATATTTCGTGACGTTTCCCGGGACACAGCGCTCCACAGAAAAGTGACCTGAGGCAAAGCTCGCCCGCCTGAATGTGTGGCCGTGTCACCTCCCGGTATTGTACTACTCCCTGATGTGAACCAACCCTAAACACAGCCTTAAGCCCGATTCATACTTCATGTCGCGTACGGGAAACGCGTCGTAGAAAAGTTGATCTGAACTCAACTATTTCGCGTACGGGAAACCCATCGCGCGACGGTCGCGCGATGGGTTTCCCGTACGCGAGATGAAGTAAATGTGGAGGTATATTATGCTCGGCAGGCCGCAAAAGAGGGCGCCTTAGCAGTTTTTTAGTACTCCCGGGTCCAAAATCTCACCACCACGCCGGGCTGATCAAAACGTCTGTCGGTTCTGCAGACTACAAACGTGGATCTGCCGACACTGTGCTGTCGACGACATGTCCGGCATGGTACCTCCTTGCTTGCGTGAAAGCAAGGAACGCTTTTTTTTAGAAAGGAAGCTTCTTCTCCAAAATTTAATATAAATTTTTTGAAAATTGTTCCTTCTGAAAATATCATCGCGTTCTTGAGTCGAAGCTGACTGCTGAATGCGATTAGGAAAGAAGATTCCTGAAGATACACCAGACTGATTCTGGCAAGCCGTCTGTCGTCTAGATATGCAGTTGTTCGTCATGGTCAGCAATCTTCTTCGTTCGTCCTTTCGTTTTCCTGACCACGATGATGACACTCATCACTTTTTTCCTAAACATTTGAACATTTACACTGATGTATGAACAGTTACAATGATGTATATACATTGTTTATTTTTTTATTTATTTTTTTATTTTTTTGGTCCCATCGGCCTCTTCATATTTGTGCAGCTGCACTGTTGAGCTTCCGATGTGAAACAAATAATAATTAAATAATAATTCGACGAGGAGACAATAATTTTAATATGGCAATAAGTAGGACGAGCTGAAGCGACATGTGGACTACTTTATTAACAATGTAAGCGATGGAGACGTGCAAGAAACAACCTAAATGGTAAGGAAAAAATACATGTAAGAAGAAAAAGGCAATGGAAAAAAAGATGATTCGAACAAGTTTTCTGCACACTTTTGTGAGAAATCGCACCTCCATATTCCAGTGCTGTCATTGTATCGTGTCACCCTACCTTGATTGCTATATTATTTCCTTTGTTCTCATTTTGTTCTTTAGTACAACGGTGATTCCTGAAGAGTGTTGTACGAAAACTTGTTCGAATCATCTTTTTTTTCCATTGCCCTTTTTCTTCTTACATGTATTTTTTAAAAGAAAGTCGCTATGTCCTGGCCCTCATACAGCATTGGAGAGGTGAGGTCTCACCGTCCAGGAGCGACACTGACTCACG